CGCTGTCCCCCAGCCTCCCGAGCTGGTCCTGCCAGGTGCTGCTGTGTGACCCGGAGCTCCCTGGGTGGGCCCAGTACACCTGGTGCAGACGGGAGGCCTCTGCGCTGTCTGTGATCTAAATCAGCTGATGAGTAGCCACGGTAAGTTATAGCTAATGCTGTTATTTACAAGACAACTGTGGGTGCAACTAGAAATCAGGACAGTGATTTCATCCTTCATGTAAATGTCCAAAGAATTTCACTTGGCGCCCTTGATCTGGCATCCCGGGAACACGCTTCTTCTGATCTTCCTTCCTTTAAGTGATACTGGTGTTTTTCTTCTACTTCAAGTCCTGTCCATCTCCCTTTCCAAAGAAACCATGTGGTTTGCAAAGACAAACTACATTTCACCCCACCCTAGGGCACCCAGTGTCAGACAGGCTAAATACAGCTGCAGGTTTTTCCTTTCAGACTGTCCGGCTGTTGTGCCAGACAAATGGCTACTTTATATTTTGACTTTTTAACGTAAGGGGACATTTCTAGTATCTTCTCAGGAAAACTATTCTAAAGTATTTTTATTGTTGGCAAAAACTAGTAATCACATTGCCCTCACAGGGAGAGGGTCTGTGTATGTTCTCGCCACCTGCTGACCCACGTGGGCATTTTATGTCGAGCTCAGCTAACTCAGTTAGGTCTCTGAACCTTCACTTGTGGATGGAGAAAGCGTGAGAAGTCCTGACAAGCACGTAAGAGCTGCATTCAGAACAAGGGCCCCATGTGACTGCTGCGCAGGAATGAGACCAGTACGTTTCTGTTACTGATTTTTTATGAAGAAGTTGCATGTGTGACAGTAGCTCGTTGTTTGGGGCATAAGGAGGCTGTACCTGCAAGGGTGTCTGTATGTGCCTCCCTTGTCACAGGGAGCTCAAATCTTCACGCTCTGTTGTAGGTGCACCTGACCACTAGGCCCCCTCTCTGGAACTCCGGGCGGTCTGTTGAATGAGAACAGGCTGTGGATCAAGTCTCTCTTCCATTCCCGAGTTGGGGAGCAGATAGAAATGAAAACGGGCACACTTGTTAAAAGCTTCACTCGGTTTGACCGTAACTGTGACCTGAAACACACACCCCAGATACTGCTGCTGAGGATTTGATCTTTTCCCTTTCGTTCAGTTTTTTGCTTCTTCCCTTCTGGTTTTGATTTGCCTTTTCTTTTTTTCCCCATTGACAAGTAAGTCAGCCTGTGGTCTATGCTGTCTTCCTCTCCTGTTGCACAAAAGCAAATTGCTCCCATGGCAGGGGGCCATGAGCGGGAAGTTGCTGTGACAGGTCAGACGCTTCTGCACTTGGTGTAAGTGGACGCCAGTCAGTTTCCAGCCTAGTATCACCAACCTGCTGACTCCAGAAACGTGTGGGGGAGAATTTCAGTGGTTAGGACATTTTGCTACTTTGAACCAGCTTTAGTGCAGGAAAAGCCCCGGTGCCCTGGGGTGAAGCGAGCCCTTGCAGCGCCTCCTGAGGGTCCACAGAGCCTGGTGATGTGATGCTGGCCTTTCTCTTGGCCGCCGATCTGGGCGTGAGGGTCGTTCTCTACTGTCAATCGTCTGCTGCATCACGAGTGCATCTGTGTAAAACCCCTTGGGATGGCCTTTTTGTAAGAGCTTGCGGTGATGTCTGGAGTGGGGGGTCTGGGTTTGAATCCAGTCACTGTCACTATGACTACGAGTGGATGCCTCTTCTCTGAACCTGAATTTTCCCAGCAGGGTGTTACGCCTTAGGGTGTGCAGGAAATTCAACTCAAGAACACATGCAGGCGCCCTGCCCGGGCCGGTCCACTTTCCTGTGGCCTGTGTGTGGGTCTCAGGAGGGCTTCCCAGGGCACAACTGGTGAAACGTCACATTGACGTTAACAGATCCAAGTGTGGTTATGAGGTGGGAGCAGTTGTGCAGAGTGGAACCTGACTCAGTACAGAAAGGGTCTGAAACCTCTCATCCATCTTGTTCTTCGAGGCAAGAAGGTGTTTGTTGTATTCAGAAACTCTTTTTCTTAAGTTGTAAAGTAATGTAGTTATGCTATTGAAATATTCTGGACTTTTAAAAAATTGGCCATTGTCAAGATGCTCTTCAGGCAGAATTTTAGATTATTTAGTTCAGTATCAGAGGGGTTTATGAGCTTCTAGATTATGACATCATTTTTAGTTTGATAATCTGTATAAAACAAATCTCAGATTTATAAATAAAAATTCTGTGTGATCTTAGGTGGGACAAGCTTCCTGCTTCAGTAGCATGGCATGGCTCCCTGCCGGACATTGTTCCTGTGTGCTTGCTGGCGGCGTCCACATTAGAGACCTGGGGCCCGTCACTAGGGCTGTGTGTTTGAGGGGCTGCGTGTTTAATGAGCATTCCTTTGTTGTGCTGTATAAAAGAGAAACCAGATTTTATACTTTCTTTGCCATATGCCTTTAGGCTACAGTTAACGTGATTTATTCATTCAACAATTGGACACTTGTTTGTAGTGACCATAAGATCTTCATGGAGTTTATAACTGCGTGATGGAAAACAGACAGTAATTAGAAATAGTGCTCAATATGAGGCATGCCATGAAGGAAACACAGAAATGAAAATAGCATTTCTATTTTCATTTGATTCTGGTCAGGGAAGGCTGCACCCAGTTGTAGCCAAGTCTTCAAGTTGAAGCATCACGTATAAAAGCTTCAGTCTATCACGAGGAGGGAGGAGTGGCAGTCCAGCAGGGCATAGGAAATATTTGCAATCCATAAACCTGCAAAGAACTTATGTTGAGAACATATAATGACTTCTTTTAAGTCCATAAGAATAATCTGCACAGTACTTTCTGTAGAATATTTGAGCAGGCATGTCACAAAAGAAGATGTCACACATGGAATGACGCTCATCTTCATCACTGTCAGAGAGGTGCACATAAGACTATGCTGGCATTCGCAGCATCCCCTCCCGGAAGGCTGACACGAGAACCACCGAAGATACTGAGTGCATCAGGGCAGGGATCTCCTGCAGGGCTGGGTTGTAGACCCAGCTGTGGCACGCCCCCACAGTGGAATGTGTGCAGCATCAAGACTGCACCAGCACTGTGTGCGGTAATGTTGTGGAGCCAAAACTGCTGGATCCGAAAAAGTGTGCAGTTGCGTGATTCTATTTATATGGTGTTCAAAACCAGGTAGACGCAATCTTCGCTGTTAGAAGTCAGAGTAACTGTTACCCTTGTCTCTGGAGCAGATCAAGAAGGGAATTCTGGGGTGTCAGCCCTGTGTCTTGATTTGGTTGCTTACATGGTCTGTTCAGTTTGTGGACATCCATTCAGCTGTTCACTTGTGACTAGTGCATTTTGTAGGTATGTTTTACTTAAATGTTTAAAATTGTAGGTAATAAACGTATTTCTTTATATATCCTATAAGTATCCAAGTAATTTGTTCTAAAATTTCACCACATAATTGTCACTGACTTGTTTATGAACAAGTAGTTAAGCAGCTCTGTTTAGACCACATGCTAGATGACTTCAGGGCCGCTAACCTTTCCTCCCCATTACTTGAATACCCACCTTGGATGTGTGTATGACAAGATCGTCCACCTTCTGTCCCCCTATTTGACAGGTCCTGGCGCAGTTGTCACGTAACATGTCCTGACAGGCAGACACTCAATTGAAAATTGATCAACTAATCTGTTTCTCTAACTTCTTATCTCCTCACTCATGTCATAGCCACTCTGCTCCTCTCTCAGATTAAACAGATGGATCACTATGCTTTTGGAATACTTGCCTTTAGATGCCTTCTCCTCATCACTGGGGTTTCCTCTGCTTTTGCAAAGTTGTAGCCTGAGGTTGCACACATGAGTAGCAAACTTGGACAGAGCAGTGGTTTCCCTGAGTCCCCCTGCTGAAGACTGGGAGCCTGGATGCTGGATAACTGGGCATCTGGGCTGCTTATTTCATGTGGAGGTACTGGGGTTTACCATCCCATGACTGGGATCATGGAGCTAGAATGAGGCTCTGGGATACCACATCACAGGACACGAGTCTTGGTTTAAGATGGGACAGCCTTCTCATCTCTCCTCTTCTTTTTGCAACTGCTCTTTTTTTTCAGTAGAACTAAAATGAAGTCGATTGGAAGACAGAATTAGCAGGTCTTAAAACTCTGTTACGTGGGTCAGTTAGAAAGGCAAAACAAAT